ACATGGTTTACTCTGAAAAGTACTCGCGGCAACTGGGAGGGGCACAGGGACTGCAGATGGGCCCACAGGGGCTTTTAGCTGTGGTCACCAGCACTATAGTGATGCTACTGAATAGCAACATGCTAATGCTGCTGCACTGAGGCCTTCATTAGCAGTGTAAGTGATGAATAATGTGTTCAACGAATTAAAGGACCAGTGTGTAGGAATTTATGGCATCTAGCGGTGTAGTTGTAGATTGCAACCCACTCGCCTCACCCTCTCATTCCAAGCGCGTAGGAGAAACTATGGTGGCCGCCAGACTTTCGTAAAACATGAAATGCCCTGTCCTTTCTGGGCTACCGTAGAAACATGGCGGTTCAACATGGCGGACTCCAAACGTCTCATTCTAAGGTGAAAACAACACGATTCCTATATTCAGGCGATTATACACCAATAAAAACATTCCTATGAATATTATATTCCTGCCAATAGATCCTCCTAAATGTTACACACTGGACCTTCAAGTACAGGGATGTGAAATGATTAGGGACAGAGGAACCTCTAACCCTTTAGGACTCTTCATTATGTGTGAATTTTTATGTTTTAGCCTTTGACTTAAAATTACAGTCAAATTACTATTAACATAAATTTATCCTGAGCTCAATCAGTCAGAGATGTTTGTTTTGTTATTGTTTAAAAGGATCACAGTCATACAGAAATGCGTTTGTGTGTCTCTAAGCTGTGGCAGACGTAGACGGAGGATCTCAGAGACAGTACAGTAGGCGATGACACCCAAAAGATGGCGCATTTTTCCTGATTTGTCCTAAAACAGGATGTTATTCTACCCAGACCACAAAGAGTGAGAGAAAGCATGAAACAGCCCAGTTCCCTACTTGACCCTTTTATGAAGGAGCGCAATCTGCCGGATGTTGTTGAAAAGAACTTTATCCAACCCGCCTGGCGCCTCTTCTGTCTGAGGACGCTGGAAAACAAATGCATCCATAATTTCCCAACTTACTCAGCGAGCTACCTCAGCTGAGTTGTGGTCACACGAGTAACGTGTGACAGAGTAACTGATCTCTGGATAATGACTAATTAACTTATGCTGAATAGTAAAGTGAGGATAGTGAACGGCAGATGCGATGCTGACAGCACCGACAGCGTCGGGGTAGTTAGTGAAGTGACTTCTGTCAGTCTTAACCGGGGAGAGGTTAGACCAGAGAGCAACTGAGTGCACTTACATTTGTCTCTCGTGAAAGAGAGAGGGGCCATTAACTGTACTCAACACTGCAACCTTGTTATCCATTAAAGTCCATTTAGAAACAATTTAGGAAGCTGTCCAGACATAGAGGAAGGGGTGGCACTCCCACTGACTCATCATCTCGCTGTTTGTGTTGTTTGTTAGTTTCATTCAAGGAAATTGGCCACGGTCTTTTGTCTCTTTGTCCCAGAGAACAAAGTATCTGAGAGGGCTGGTGGAGGCTAACCCTCTCAGATACTCTGTCAGGGTGATGAGCTGTGTAAATAAACTGCTTTAATAATATACACCTGCTTTCTGTGTAATATGAGTATATTAACTCCAGGGACGTGGACGTTGGGGGACTGATTCAGTTCACAGAGTTGGATAACCGTGAATGGTGATACAAAACCATAATCAATTAATACTGGACTTTAACTTGTCTAATATTCTATTAGTCTACTGTTACAGATATCAGTGCTCCACACCGAAAGGTTTTACATTATGAGCATGACTGAGTATTGGACCATATCTACTCATTTCTTCATAGCTTAAAACATGAATGGACATTTATCATAAGAGGTCCATTTAAATAAGACTGCTGGTCGTTATTCTATCTGGATTAAACAGACAGTCACACTGGAATTGATGCAAAGCAATGAGCGCTTTTTCTGACTGTTTATGTATGTTGTGCTAACATTTTCCATGTGCACTGCCATTGCTTTGTACAGTGTGTTATATGTATATTTTCTGATGTGTTTTTTATATTCTTGCCTCCTTTCTCCCTTCTATCCAGTGTTTTGCCTCTCTTGCCCCTCTGTGGGGCAGCCTGTGACTGCAGAAGTGCTCTTAAAGTGTAAGACCACTGTTGTACTAGTTCTGAATTTGAATTCAAAATCTACTGAATGTTATTTTCCATTATCAGCTGAGTTTATGGCTGCTAAGCCCGCATATCAACGTGTGTACAGTACATAAGATTTGTATAATCATTTTCTAATCATAGAGGCTGATGAGTTTAATTTAAAAATAAAAAAAGCTATTTAAAGGTACCCTCTGGAGTTTTAATTGCAAACTGTTCAAATACAAGATTACTGGCCAAAGCACTTTTTATGACTAACACACACACTGAACACACCTCCTGACCCAGCTGTTGTGGAAACATGTAGGATAAGCTGTATCTACCTACAATATATCTAAATAAGCTGTTATGGCCTCTATGATGTTACAAAATCATCTTATCTGAACATCATCGGCTTAAGTTCTGTCAATCAATGATAATCCTCATCAATAACACCTTTTCCCTCTTGATTTCTATATTTAGAGCGCAGCCATGACAACCCTGTCTCCTAGAAATGATCGTTGTACATTGTCACTGATTGCTTCAGTTTCAACACTTTTGCCCGTTATGTTAATTAAACAACATTTCCTCATTATGTTAATAGAAAACATAATTCGGTCTGCCTTACGTTAACTTCAAAACGTATTTGCTGTTGCAAATTAAAGTGTATAAATGTAATTTCTATTATATTGTAGCAAACTCTTGTTATTGTTTGCCTGTAGAACGATCTCTGTGATCAAAACCCCCACAGTGTACCTTTAATGTGTTGTTATATGTGGCCTACATTACCTTGTGTCTGGCTCTGAATGTATTTGAATGTACCGTCTTTAAAGTCATGAATGCCTTTTACTGCGAGGGATCACATTTACTGTGCTGCTGGAGCTTCTACTGCACATCGAGGGTTGACTCATACTTTTTGCTTGTTCTGTCAAATAAACATATTACATTTACTGATTTGTAGATATTTGTCTTTATTACTTTTAGAAGTGGGTGGAAGGAGTTTAGGTGACATTTTGACTGAAAACATCAATCAGAAAGCTTTAGTGGGGATTCAGAATTACAAAAATATACTTAAATAATAAATAAATGTGTTTAAAGTAAAAGTGCTTTTAAGAAAGATGTCCCTTGACTGACATGTCTATGATATAACGTGTCAGTGTATAATAGATCTGAGAGGATTAAGAGGTAGGAAAAGTTTGATCTTTAACAACTCAATTCATATTCTTTTAATATGTTTTTATGTGAAATCTAATCTGTAGAGCAACTAGTAACTTTATTATTAAAATGAATGTAGTGGCTCGAATGGGACAATATAATATAAACAGCAGAAAGAATCAGTACCTTAACATTTTTAAGTAATACTAATTATTTCCACCACTGCAACATGCAAACATGATGTGATTGTACAGCTCTGGGATAACTGGGAACTAATACTGAGTAAAAACATAAAGTCTGTTGTGGCAACAGAGAATAACTAACTACAAGAGGCCTGTGTCAACACTTTCTCAGTGTTTCTGGTCTTCATGCATGATTACTGACTGGACGGTCACTGTAGTGGACAGAGGACAAAGCAAACACATGAGCCCTGGTGCGATGGGATCAGATCTGAGATGTGATACGAGTCTGCAGGCTGTTAAAGTCGTGCGGCACCACAACCCATTTGTGGTTTCAGTGAAACAATTAGATGGAGTATCATGACAACAGAAGTGTAATCAATCTCCATTATTTATGTAACATGAACGGTCTCTTCACACAATAATGTGGACAATAAAATTCAACACTAATGTTCTACGTTTTTTTTTATTTATATAACAATATTACAAACATTTTGCTTGTTTGCATAAAAAGTCTACAAAATGGCATAACATGTACTTTAATGAGATAAACTTGAATACATATACAAGCAATGTACTGGAAATGTGACAATAAGTGAAACAGAATGGAAAAACTGCGTAGTATGAAATTATTATTATTATATTATTATTATTATATTATTATGAAGTGTATAGCTGCTCTTAATCTCTGGCCCTGGCATGACTGAGGTAGAGTTAACCTGATTAAACTCATTTATTCCTGGTCTATCTAAAACAGACTGCCTGCCAGAAAACATAAGAAAACATCAAAAGTATAAAAAGACTGGCCACGTTAAACAGAGAGTGTGGAGAACAAATAGTTATTCATTGAGTCAAATTATGCCACAACTCTTGACAGACATCTACAGGAAGTGTTTGTGTTCACCAGCACACCTGCAGACTGAAACATGGGGTCACACTGACGTGTTGTACAGGCTAAATGAGTCCTTTGTCACTGGGAAAATACATTGGCAACAGCTTTACATTATAAGAGTCATATTATTGGTCACATTTGAATTTAAACTGCAGATCGTTTTGTTTCTTGTCAGGTTGGGGGTAACTTTAGTCAGGGTTTGGACCTGTGTCTGTTTGGAGGTATCCAGCTCTGTCTCCAGCCTCTACATGACTGCCACCCAGTGGCCCATGAGCAAGGACATCAGGGAGCCGATGACAACGATGATACTGTTGTAGATGGGGCCGCTGGATGCTGCCGTGTAGTACTCCATGTCTCCAGAGCCCTCTGCCTCATAGCCAGGCCTGGGCCCGTAGCCACCTCCGTAACGTGGGGGGCCATACCCCCCTCCATAGCCTCCATAGCCTCCTCCATAGCCTCCATACCCCCCACCATATCCTCCATACCCCATTCCATATCCCCCTAACCCTCCATACCCATACCCAGGGCGGCTCAGGGCAGACCCCACCATTGCTCCTCCTACGGCCCCGGCTGCAGCTGCCCCGGCTATCTTCCCCGCACTGGGGCCGCTGCTCTGGATGGGTCTATAGGCCTGACCACCACCACCACCCCCCCAGCCCCGGCCCCGGCCAAAGAGTCCTCCACCACCTCGGCCGCCACCTCCAAAACCACGGCGCGCCTCAGAGCTGGGTAACAGTGTGGCGAGGAGCAGCAGGCAGAGGGTCACTGTGAGGGGGAGTTTCTGCAGGCCCGACATTCTTCTTCTTCTTCTTCTTCTGTGCTGTAAGAATGAGACAAAGGAAACCTTATCAGGAGGCGTGAATTTAACACTGGCGAGCTTTTAACTTGAGAGACTTGTTGTCTTTTCTTTTTGTTTCTGTTCCTTAGTGAAATTCACTGAGATGATCCGCTGGCTGTGGACTGTTCAGTTCTTGACAGTGGTGGAAGAAGTATACATACAAATAAAAGTAGCCACAGTGTATCAAGTGTATTAGTGGTAATAATAATAGTTAATTTATGAAAATAAAGACAATCACAGGACATAAGATAAATAACAAAAATATAGTAGAAAACTATTAGCTTGTAAAAAAACTAAAAATAAACTGTCAATAAACAAAATATCATCATAAAAAAGTAAATTCTAGTAAACTTTATAAATAATAAGATATTTATATTCTAATAAATTAACTAGTAAAGTCCTGTATTCAAACATACAAATTGGGTATCAGAAAAATATACTTAAAGTATCAGATTAAAAGTATTCATTATGCAAAATAAATGAGTAATATTATTATTATTATTACATTTAATTATTGCTTTATTATTATTGATCCATTGGAACTGATTCATACACTGTTAATATATAAACATGGATCATATAACAGGTAAATTACAGCTGTCACATCAGTGGACTAGTAACAAGTACCTACAATATTTGCCTCACAAATATAGTATAAAATGGAAATACTAATATAAGTAAAGTACAAGTAACCTAAACAGTGTTAAGTTCAGAACCAAAGTACTGAAATGTACGTAGTTATTCTGGTCCCTGAAGGCACCTCGTCAACAGACTGATGAGATGTTCTCACTTTAGTCCTGCTGTTATTTTTACGTTACATTAAGAGCAGCACAGATCACTGCTCTTAATCCAGCTCTGAATCCAGCTCTGAGAAACACATCTTACACAAGAACCGTCTCAATTTAACACTGCAGCTGACCTGGGATCAGATGGCTTTCATGACCTCTAACGCCATTTCATTAAGATCTGGTAGCTGAATCTGACTCCAGATCTGTGGACCTGCTGTATTAATGACTAACAGTTATCGGACAGGGAAGAACAAATAAGATGATCCCCAGTGAGATATTTACATTAGAGCAACACACAGAGAGAGGTACTTTATTATATTATATTATATTATATAAGTCTTTATTTATATTAAATGTTATATAAATGTTAAATCATTTTATGCTACTTTATACTTTGTTTCCACTACAGGTCATACAGTACTGCACTATTTATTTACCAGCTTTAGTTACTTTTCAGATTGATGTTTAACATATATGATCCATTTCTACATTATGATGCTTTACTATTATAGATTAGACACAAGAATATTTATAGCAGTTAAAACTGCGTCCACCTCAACCAACTGTAACACTACTGCTCACACCTCATCAATAATAGCACAATCAAAGTACCTTGTGCTGCAAATACATCTATACTTGTATTTCAATTTAATTCAAATGCAGGACTTGCACTTGTAATGAAGTACTTCTATAGTGTGGTATTACTACTTTTACTTCATTTGAATACTTCTTCCGCTGATGACGCCCAGTGAGCAGCATGACATCATTTGCTCTGCTGTCAACAAACTGTACGCAGTCTAATCTGTCCTCTTAAAAGATGAGTTGAGCTATAATTACACCGGGTCACTTAGTTTGAGAATAATCCAGTGACTCTCAGATTACAGCAGCCCAGACTCTCAATGAAGACACTTTCCTTCATGGATTTGATGCCATTTGGAGCAAGTATATCAGTAATTGTGATTTCTATCAATAGACCCTATATTTATAATATACGTATTACATATAAATAACATCACAACAAAAGAAACTCACTCACAAAAACAACCAAAGTAAATAAAGAACACTGTTAAAACCTGCTGAATTTAACAGAAACATCAAACTCTTGTTAGAATAAACAGTCTCACCTGTTGTGTGGCTGTTGGCTCGCAGCGATTCAGATGAGTTTTCCTCTTCAGACGGTAAAAACCACAGAGCGTGTGTTGGCAGCGCAGACTCTTCTGACAGTCAAGTGTATTTCAAGGCCACGCCGTTATCCTCTAGACAGCTTCAGTCGGGTGAAGTGGATCACGCCGTCTCACACCTGCTCATTGGCTGAGCGTACAATAAGCTGCTGTACCACCGACATCACACATAAATACCTGTGCGTGTGCGTGTGTGGGCGTACACGTGTGTGATCTCAGCCCAGTGAGTGACTTAACGAGCTCTCCCGAAGCTTCCACTATGACTACTGTTATATCTGTTACATTACACAAGGAGATTTTAACATCATTGTATAACATGGTACCGTTTCACACACTGACCCCGAACGAGACTCAAGGAGGTTACAAATATATATGTTAATCTTTTCTCAACATACCGTTTTTTTGTTTTTTTATTAAATAACAATCATTGTAAGAAAAAACCCACATTTTCCAAGTCGTGGCATGAGTTCTTAACATCTCAAAGACTACGGTTCCTTCATTATTTTGTAAAAGACACGATACAAAAAGCAGGCAAGTCTTTAGAGTCACTAAAAATACAACATGCACACTCTCACGCACACGCTCCTGATGACCTTTTCAACAACCGTGTTAGAAATATTGAACGGACGGGGCCGTACGCACACGGACAATAGCAGATGTATGCAAAGCGCTGTACATGTGGAGGCAAACTGTGCTGCTTTTAAATGCTCATTCATACATTTACAACATTCTTCCATCAAAAGATCATCGGCGTAATTCACAGTCTTTTCTTGTGCTTTCGCGTCACAAACTGTTGCATTGTACAGCCGGTCCGATATCCAATCCCTACCAGGAGGCGTTGTGTGCGGAATGATGTTGAAATCTTCTTGCCGTCTTACATAAGGCAGGGATGCATTATGGGATATGCAACAAGATGAGACCACAACGGTTTCACATTGACTGGAACTGTGTTTTGCCGTTATTCAAATGTATCTAGGTAGTTTCCAGTAAAACCCTCCAGAATTTTCCGGTGTGTCTTTGTGCTTTTAACCTTTTAACAGGCACTTTACTAAAACCATATTATGTGACGTTTGTGCTTTAAATTGATTTGGGGTATTAGCTCTTAATCTGGAGGGTAAGACAGAAGACAGGACGTCTCATTTTTACTGCACTGCAAAAAGGTTAAAAATACTAAAAGGAGTAGAGGAGTATCTTTCTGTGTGTACTGATAACAAAGAAATATATGTTAAGAAAAGCAGAGGGAGATACAGTGATTGGGTCTGAATTAAGACTTAAAGTCCACTGCTGAGATGGTCACACTTTAACATGCACACAGTCTAGCATGTTTAAGTTTTGTCTGTATGTTGACGGATTTGAAAAAGACCCTATGCGGAGGCGGGAATTCAGAGGAGCAGGCTAATCGCTGGAACACATACATTGGGTTTTTGTCAGATGATTCTTGTTTCCAGCCGGGTGGAGGATGCGGCGCTCTGCGAGACGTTTTGACAGTTTGATGATCACATACACGTCGCCCCCTCTGGAAGACAACTGAGCTGCTTCTCAATTATACACCGCAGGTAAGTATACCTGCAAGGGCGAGAGAGAATAAATGTCTGTGCCTGCAAATATACATTGGATAATAACACCAGTACTATGTAATGCCCACGTGTGAGCTCATAGCAGCGGATGAACATGTTGACGACTGTGGATGATGAAGGGAAGTAGATTATATACAGTATTTTTCTCGTACCTTCTCCTGAGTTTCTGCACCTCTCGGTCCTCTTCCTCCTTCAGTTTGGTGATGAAACTCTGCAGGACAGGCATTTCAAACTTGATATACTGCGCCACCTGGTGGAAGGGAAGAGAAATGTGATGACAAAGCACAAAGGAGAGAAAGAGAGAGAGAGAGAGAGACCAATGTGATATATTGGAGACACAGGCAAGGATTTTGTGGCTGCACGCTGTCGCAGGAAGAGCAAGTAGGGAATGTGCATTTACATCATATGTGACTTCCTCTCCCAGGTCTTCTTCCATGAGGAAAATCTTGCAGACCTGCTCACACGGACCCTGCATCACTCTCAGTATCAGAGGGTAGTCACTTCGCTTCAGTTTCACACGCTCTGAAAAATCAACACATCCACAAAGATATTCATTAAAGAGCCAGTGTGTAGGACACCGCTCGTGTCTGAATGTGACGACCTGGGAATGACGTGAAAGGCTCCATCTACAGAGTTTGGTTCGTCTGTTCCTAGTAGTGATGGGAATTCCGGCTC